ATTAGGCTTGCTTGTGTTTTTTTTACATTAGGTGTAATACCGGAGGTGGCTATATGCCCGCCTGTAATTCAACAATGTGGAGATGAGGATTGGTGGATCACCGCACAAATGTTGCAAAACTCCTTTCTCGTAGGCGTCGGTGAGAAGCCGTACCCTGGCTCTCTGGGCGAATAAAATACGCAAAAATATTTTGACTTCAACTGTTCCGTCCGTATGGCATCGAGGGTACCCCCCCCCCCTCCTCCTCGCACACGTGGGTTCTCTCTGAGTGCTCCAGTGTCATCCTACATGTATTAGTTGCTGCGGCGCCATATTATTAACATTCCTTCCCTTTATTAATTCTAACCTTACTCCCTCCCTTTGATACTGCTAATCCTGCATAATGCACGGGCATAATGACTTTAAACCCCTTGCCAAACCTCCTACGCATTTCACAAGTAGTACGATTCGCATATCTGCATTTCCCATAAATATGCTAAATTCCTCTTGATATGCAAATTATTTTGTCAAGACGCTCTTCGCCCCTCCATCCCAGCTTAAATAGACGCTCCAAGCCTGGAGCGTGCCATTCAGACTCTGTCTCTCGACAGACCTGTTCTTCACCTGAAGACGGCTGCTTGCGTTGTGGCCGAAACGTCGTGAGAATTATTTTATTATGTTTTATTTTTATTATTTTATTATTTTCCTTCTACGTGACTTTACCGAAAGAACCAAGAAGATGTAAGCACTCATTAACACCTTACTATGTAGAGGACCGCAGAGCTTTGGCAATTGTTGGTGCCGGCTTACTGCTTGGCTACCTTCCCACTTGTCTGTGGTTCCTCCTTGCGCCTCTTGAGTCGATATTTTGGGATTTTCGAGAGCGAGTGAATACGGTTGGACGCGTTGCAATGTTAAATTAATGTCCATCAGAAGGCCCTCCCAATCATTGTAATTGAGCGTGGTGGAAATATTGGGTCAAGTATATATTTTTGTATGTGTAATTGGTAGTAAAATACGTTACATAGCTCCGTCACCAATATCAAGAACATCCTCTGGTTCCTTACGGTGAAAATGTCCCCTGAGCGACTCTGTGTGGTTAAAAAAGACTAAACTCAGTGTTGTAACCAACGGACTGACGGACGGACGCACTAATGGACAAATGACGTTTCTTACATAGACACACAGTTTTTGCCCTCCACATTTAGAAACATCTGTTTAGATTATATGGCTGCTTAGGCCTCGGCAAGGCAAGGTAATTTACCCTTTTTACCGGGTAAAAGGGTAAAGGTAAAGGTGTCGACATGCCAAGGGGTAAGGGTAAAGGGTACAGGGTAAAGGTAGCTCGGAAGAATTGCCCGGTAGGGTAAAGGTAGCACGAAGTATTACCCGGTAAATACGGTACCTTGTTTACCGCTAAAAGCTCCGTGGCGCAGTCCGTGGCCTACATTTAATAAGTAATATTAAAACAAACTTTATTAAAAACATGTTTTTTTAAATTGTACGAGTAATGGCAGAACTCCACGACTCCAGGAAGTGGCCCCGAAGCTTGCCACAACGTCAGGGACCGTGGCCAATTACAGCCAACGTCAGTTGAGCGTGGACAATTAGAGCCAAGCCGAAACATAACATGAAAAAAATAATGTTTAAAAAAATATATATTTGTAATGATAGAATATAGTATTGTCATCAGTATGACCTAAGTATACCAAGTTTGCAGTCGATACCACATTAGGAAGTGGGTAAAAATTGAGTTTCAAGATTTGAGGATACAACAACAACAATAACGACAACAACGACAACAACAACAGACAGTGAGTTAAAAGAAAGCGTGTAAAATTGGAATCATCGAAAGTATTCTATATGATTAAAGCGCTCTACCTAGCATTTACCGTTCTAAAACCTTGTTCATGTGTAGTAGTTCCCTAGTAATTACCCTGTAATCGGGTTATTTGTATGGGGTAAGGGTAAAAGGTAGGGTAAAGGTAAGCTCGTTGCTTTTTACCGTTTACCTTACCTGCTAAAGGGTAAAAGGTAGGGTAGAGTGATTGTATTGTGGTAAGGTGAAAGGTAGGGTAAAGGTAGGCTCGTTTTTAAATGCTTTATATTAAGTTCGCTTGCTTGCGTGCTTGCTTGCTTACGACCGTGCAAATCTTTCGGTCGTTTTTTAACCCACTTCCCGTGATCCAATCGAGATGACATTTTGCACACAGACTCGTTGTGCGAGACAATTAATGTTCGTGAAATTTTTTTCCCAAAATTTTACACTGTTTAGGGAAAACAAATTAAATATTTAATTACCAATTGCTTAATACTGGCAGACAATCATCTGGCCCATAGGTGGCAGCCATCTCAAGCCAGAGGGCGAGAGGACTCTAGCTGCCACGCATATAAAGGATTTATAGTGAAAAACTTTGTTTTTACGGGTTATACTTGTTACCTTTTAACTTTTACCTTACCTTGCCGAGGCCTATGGCTGCTCGAAATTTACACACGATAAGAAGACACTTCGTTGAGCTATCATTTGTGGCTAGGTCGCTAATGGCTCAGTTGGGATTTTACCTCGGTAAATAAAATATGGGTTCTTTTCCATTGTTTTTACTTTGTTTAACAAAGACAGCACACATTGGCTCTGTGGTTGTGAACAGCAGGTGCACTCAATATAAAGTGACGCTATCGTGCGAGCACCATTTGATTGAACCTTACTCTCTGGGAACAAATCACCTGCCACATCAGGACTTTATCAGCCGCGTACGCTCAGCCGACTGTTAATAATAAAAAAAACACTCCCCCCAATGAATGTACCTGTTATCTTCAAGGCTACGGCAAACATTTGACGTTTAAACTCTAGATAAGGGATCACGAGCACGAGGGGTGGGGGGGGGGAAATGGCATCGTTATCTTCAGCAAAGGGAGCACAGTTCCAAGGGCATTCGGCACATAGTGCCCGCATTGAGGTCTCTGTGTAGCTCTTTTGTGTGCGCCAATGACTGGTACCGAGTGGAGCGGAATTGCTTAAAACCAGCGGGTCTTGACCCTTCCGTGGGTGGTGGAGGGCAACAGGCTGCCTGCAGGAGACAATTTTTAATGTGCTCCGGGAATGTTGGCTCCACGTTATGGCGACAAAATAAAGAACAAATAATAACACAGACATGAAACAAATGCCTGGCACTTGACCGAGAGCCATGACATGGGACATGTCATCCCTCTGTATTAATGTCTGTATCGATCACTGCCTGAGTAACCTTAGTGGTGTTTTTTGGGGCTAAATGGGGATGGTGGAGGTGCGGGAAGCAGTGGTTTTAAACTAAACTAAGTTTTTTTTATTGAGGGGCCGCAATTATGATAAGATTGAGACTGCTAGTTTAGATGGTGTGTTCTTGGCTTATTTCCATGCTCCATCGAGATCTTTTCTTCGTTTGAGTTGAGAGGTCCTTCACATTTTAAATATCGGAGAACCCTCGTATCCACTCCCCTACGATCTGCAACTCCTATTATCTACGGACGCTATAGGGTCTATTGCTTTCCATGCAGGGTTTTAGTGTTTCGATGATTGTCCCGATCATCATAATCAGTAGCCAAGAGGCAAATGTAGAATTTTCAGGTTTACCAGATTAAATATAGATTTGAAGCTTTCGTGACTGCAGGGATTCATCTTCTTGGTTCTTTCGGTAAAGTCACGTAGAAGGGAAATAATAAAATAATAAAAATAAAACATAATAAAATTCAATTTTCACGATGTTGCGGCCACAACGCCGAAACGGCTGCTTGCGTTGTGGCCGACACGTCGTGAGAATTGTATTTTATTATGTTTTATTTTTATTATTTTATTATTTCCCTTCTACGTGACTTTACCGAAAGAACCAAGAAGATTTACCGAAAGAACCTAAGAGTATGGTTTACCAGAGTGCACGTGCAGCAGACTTCATTTTCCCAGAGATCCACGTACCCTGTTGCACGTGGTGGTGGTATGAGGCCCAAAGTGCCCTCTCGGGTTTTTATGCAGGTTTCGCGAAATTAACTCTTCAGTGTAAAGTCACCGCGGGCACATTGGTGACCTCAAGCTTAGGGGTCACATTCCAGCCATGACACTTCACTGCCAGCAGCGGCGCTTAGTGCTGCAGACTATGTATGATACTGGTAGGAACCACCTGGTTACACCAGCCCACAGGGGATTATTGTATCCGTCCGTCGTGCATCCAAAAATGGGAGGGGTGGGGCTGGGTGGGGAGGGGAGGGTGGGAAGGGGCTGGGTGGGGAGGGTGGGGCTGGGTGGGGGGTGGGAGGGGTGGGGCTGAGTGGGGTGGGGCTGGTCATCCGTGGTGCCCTTATAGAACTCAACGTTTAACCTACTCACGCCGACATGTGCCTGCCCGCACAGTCGGGCATATTTGCGGAATACACCACGCCGCCGTTGACCCTGGCCATTGACCGAGCAACCTAACGTTCCTACCAGCTCCCTCCGCAGGAATGTGTTATGTTTTACAGTATGATTCTGAAATTGAATCATAATCCCGAATCCAGTGATTAATGGTAACGTTATAATAACCCACCCCGTTGTCTCAGTTATGTTTTTGTTTTACCATACTTCACCATGTTGGTCAGTGCTGGGTTTTTTAACGGGGTGGGTTGATGGGTGTGAAGGGGGGTGCCAGGATTGTTTCAGATATTGACTGGCCGTCGATGTTAGCCATGGCGGGGGAATTAAACTCAGGTGAATCCCATTACCATGGTCAAATAAATGTCACAATCATTCTTAAAATCCAATATCTTAATCATTGACATCAGCCATTGTCTTTATCCACTGTTGGATTAATGCCCTCCCCCATGCCGTTATCACAACTCACAGTACTTGAGGTACCACACAACACATCTCACACCAGAACTAATAATTTGACAACTGTAATTGTTTGTATATGTCATTGTATCATTTTTTATCTCAAATATATTTATTTGTAATACAATTTTCAGTTTTTGCCACATTAATTAAATCGTTATTTTTGTAAACACAGTACCAAATATGCTGGTCAAACCAGAGTTTATTGTGGATATTTAATTCATATATTTTCAATTATAAAGGTAAACAATGACGTAAATAATAATTGTACGGAGCATGTCCAATTCATTTAAAATAACCAGACAACAACGAGGCACCTCCTAACCATTATTTTCCACAATCAATTGTAATGTTTATTTGAAGTTAAAAATACTATATGTAACCATAATATATCACAATTATGCCTGTACAACTCTCGGAAATTTTCACCTCCATCAAATTTCATTAAAATAACAACAACAACAACAAAATTGCCTTTGGCCATGTAGCATATGCATTTAAAAACAGCTGTTTTCAAAAGTCAAAAAAGTAGCATATCCGGAAGTATTTATTTAAAACAATTCATAACGTACAGTGCACAAGCCTGAATTGTCTTTTAAAAAATGTACACAACTGCGTTTTTTTGTAAGAACAAAGGATAAAGTGGTCGTTTGGTTTTTGAAGAGATGTGTGCATTCCTGTAGGTTTCTCTCCAGACAGCGATCTCAATGCCCAGGTCATAGAGTTTACCGTTTTATAACCTTTGCTTTTACTTCTTTAATTTTATTTTCTTCTTTTTTAATTTAAACAACTTCATTCTGAAAGAAAAAAAACGGGTGGGGGGAAACAGCGGTCGTAAAACAGAGTTCGAGCACAACAGAATATAAGACGCACTGGTGAAGGCAATGGACACGTTGAATGTACTGTTGAGTGTTTAGGGCTGGTCGAAATTATCGCAGTTGAGCAGAGTCGTTGCATTTATGACCCGATTGGAGGTTTACGAATAGGTCAGTTGGTTTGACGTCTACAAACTAATCTGCCTCTCTCTGCTCCAATTGCAGCTATAAAGATTTAAGACTCTGGAAATATAATTTAAAAAACGGTTCATTGTGTTCAAATTTCGATAAAGCAAATGTTTAGGTCAATTAACCTATGACATTTTTTATACTTGTGCTTTCACGACCAATATTATGATTTACAATTAGTTTCTGATTCACGTTGAATCATAATGAGTTCCTTTTGTATTACATCATCATGTAGACATAGTGTCACTTTTATTAACTATAACTCCACCACCTAACAGAGCCAATCAAATCAAGTTGTCACGTGGGGGGGGGGGGAAGGAATTTGTGAATTGATTTGGTTTTTCAGAAAACCTGGAAGGATGTTATAAAGCAAGCCCGTTTTACAAATGCTTTCAATATTTCTCCACCCCCCCCCCCCCCTGGAAATGCAAACGAGAATCATCAGGTAGGTGTTCACAACATCTCAACTTTCAGCTGAAAGACCTTCCTGAAACCGTGTCTTTAAGTAGTTGCCGTGCTGTCGTCAGATTGCTGGTTGTGATTGGCAGATTAGATTGGTGTCATATGGTGAATCGATGCAGTGCTCGGCGAAAATAGACTTCTCTTAATTATACTCCATTCAGTTGTACGTGTATGGTGTTAGTTAGAAAGCACGAGTTGTGATGCTATTGTGAATCTATTTAAGTGTTCGTTAGTTTCGTCCTTTCTCTCCTCGCTTAGCTTAATCCCTACCCATTATCTCCAATTTACTCATTCAAATGTCTGCCCGCTGAGACGTTTGCCACATTATGGGTGCACGATAAATTAAAGTTGTCGCTAATGTTGTTGTTATTATTATACAGTGGCCCTGGTATTCCTGGGAGAGGCAGATACTATGTTGCAATGTTTTCAACTGGCTTTAAATATCGATGTATGTATGTATTTTAGTTTTCTCTCTCCCTAACTGGGAGTAATGGGAGAGGACCGTTGTAAGTAGCGAGGGGAAGGTTTGCAACGAGGAATTGAATCTTACCTTCATGCAGGTGCCACAGAGCACCCCGATGAGGCCGTTGATCATCTGCGTTGCGCACAGCACGACCTGGGCGCCGCTGAAGCAGATCAGCATCGAGAAGAGCACGATGTTCCACAGGACTACATTTAAAGGCTCGACACATTTTTTCCAAATTTCTTGATCGAACAGGTAGCTACCGTTGAGGCTGAAAATTATCACACGGACGGGAACAAAGATAACGCATGTCGGACAACAGCAAATATTGCAGGGACAACAAAAAAAAATCGGAGACAACTAAATTAACACACTGATCATGTAAAATGACATGTATATGTACAGCCCCTATGTCAATCCACTGCTGGATGAGGGCTACCCCACAACCGGATGGGTTTGTGTGAGTTTTATGACCATACTGTACCACGCTGGTCAGTGAGGCTTGGTTAAGGTCGGCAGCATAGGCCAAAGGCTGCCAAAAGGCAGACAGTACAATGCAAATGCTGCCAAACATTTAAAGCTTTGGTTAAGCAGTTAAATCTATGGGACTCTTGCCAGTTTTATTATGTTTTATTTTTTTTATTGTATTATTTTCCTTCTACGGGACTTTACCGAAAGAACCAAGAAGTATTAAGATGGTAAAAAAAAGACTTGATATATGTGTTAAGGGTGTTAAAACACACCAAAAAAACACCAGCAGAAGGGAAAACTGCATCTACAAGCCTTGTCTTACGTGGTGTATTATTGTGAAATTGACAACAAACTGAGACTTTTCAGGGCCTGGGAAGACTCAGAGAGATTTCCCAGGACAGCGACATCAAGAAGAGGACGATTCTGATAAAAAACGAGGATCGGTGGAGCCCGTCTCAGAGAAGGCCTCATCTGGCGTTTTGCCCAGGGCCTCCAAAGACGTTTTGGCGACTCTCGCGAGAGATTGTGGCGGCAAGGCATGAAAATCCACGTACTTAAGATATTCAGTTGAGATGGTGTCGTTCTTGAATGGGGACACCCAGGATCCATTTCCAACATTGCAATAGGGTCCATCCACCAGGCCAGTGGTTGACACAATAAAGCAGTACCCAGCGCCCACGATGCCCACGGCGTTGAAGAGGACGGAGAACAGCATCTGCGACAACATTCACGTTCACTCGTTAAAATCGTACACGTGACCATTGCCTCGTGCACGTGTGCATGTGCAGCCCTCGTATTGTTTTATCCCCCAATCCACCGCTTGACGACGACCTCGGCCACGCCGTGAGTTGTCGTGGGAGTTCTTTGACGATGCTTCGGCGTGCCGGTGAGTGGGTGTTGGTGAAGGCGCCGAGGGCAGAGAGAAGGTGACGTAGAAATACAAAACTAATCATGTATTTAACCCAGGTCACCTTTGCCAATGAGGAAATGTTTCACCGCTCTCAATTGCTTTATTTCATCTGGTTAAATCAAGGCTACAACAACTGTACATCTGTGAAAATAGCTTCGTAGGTCAACGGATCCCTCCTGTCTACATAAAGATTTCGTTTTGATGAGCAGATTGAGAGACAGAAGGAGGCGACACACGGAATCGATAACCTATGGATGTTAATGACTTCATTCAAATTGTTAAGACAAGAAAGTGGGTTTGGACAGAACTCATCACTCGGCAGAATAATACAGGAGGAGTTATAGAGTGGCAGCCAGGGATGGAGCGTTCTGAGAGGACGTGCAACTTGAAGATGGAGCGATTAAATCATCCGGCTTGATGATGATGAATATAATCAACCGTTTCATAGTTGGGTTTCATTGGCTTATGATATCGATTCATCAGTGTGTTCTCTAAAATGGAAATGTAATCTTTACCCCGCAACGATTTCCACAGCAGCCCTTCTCATCCAGCCTGGTGTTGAGCAAGGCTGGAATGAACATCTGAAAGAGCAAAATAAACGATGCAATATAAGCGGCACTCGGTAAAATATTTACAACACTTGTTTAAAATCTTTGGGACAGTCTGCACATAACAAAATTGCTGCTAAGTCATTTACAAAACTTTGTGCTGGCTTAATTAAATCAAAGTTTCTCGACGGGAAAAATTGTGCATCAAATTAAGGTTACAGCAATTTTAGATATCACATTATTTAACATTCTGTATAATCTCTACATAATATACCATGCACATAGTCGTTGTACACAAATGCATACGTGCAATTTACTCGAGTTGTGATAAAATATAAATCAACATATAAAGAGATTAATCTCAAAATACACGTGTTGAACTTTATATGAATATCTGGTGAGGCGAGGCTGTTGCAATGGTCCACACATTGCACGATGAGCCCAGCAATCTGAGTTTGATTCCAAGCCACGACTAACATCAGTGGCGGGTTTTATCTGAACAGTTTCAGGCCCCCCACCCTATCACCGGACGGCACTCCAACACGATGAAGTAATACCCATGGAGATGTTAGCCATGGACGGGACTCGAGCTGATTCAGAGTGCGATCTTAGTTCGCGGAGCATGGAGCAGCTCGCCAACAACTGCGCCACCGCTCCACCGCAATGTATAATTTTAAAAAAATAGTCAAACTGATTTTCTACTCCAATGAGCATTTAGCCGTGAGCCAGTGGCATAGAACAACCACGAAAACAGGACTCATTTTATTGACTCCAGTGGGATGATGGGCTGATTTAAGAACCCCAACCAGGATTTGAATTCGAAATTCACAACCTTCCCGTGATTCACCTGGCTGGAATGTACCAGCCCTGAACAATGAAAGACTTACCAGCAGCCCGGCGCCGACTATCCCATGGAAGAACCATACTTGTGGGGTGAGATGATTCTCTGAAGCAAATTCCACTTTTCCATCGGGGAAAAATAGCAGGATGTTGGCGAGGATTGACAGCACGGCCAGCGGAATGAGGGCCTTGCCAATGAAGTCGGCGCACTTGCCGGTACACATCTTTCAATATCTGGGAGAATTAAAAGAAAAAGTCAAGTCTTTCAACAATGAGGCAATCACATATGTTTGCACGGTGGGTCTAAAAACACACGCAAAGGCAGAGAGGGTTTGGTAAAGGTGCAGTCCTGCAATTGCTCAATCACACAACTGCTGGCAGAATGGCTTCCACAAGACGATGCTCAAGAGAGAACCCCCTCGACAGAGTATTTGGCCTACTCTTCTACCCAGGCCAGATATCTTGGTAGAAGTGTGAGTAGCCATACTCTGCTACCCCATCTCGCACGACCTGACGATGGACTCCGATATATTCCTTTCATACTGCTGGGTGGACAGAGGCGGGTGGGTTGTTTTAGAAACTCGCAACATTGTTTCAACTGCGACTGTGTAAACCATTACACAATTGTTATTGAGATTTAGTGGTAATTTGGCTAATAAAAAAATTGCGCCCAATAAAGGCGCAAACAGCTTTTCCGCCAAAACATATATCAGGCCCAGCATTTTAATGGACTCTCATTTGGTTGTTTGAACAAAACCATCATAGTGCAATACAAAATGCCTCCATGCCTAAATGAGCTGCAAGGCAGCAATCGTCTATGTTGGCAACCCTGAGCCGACGGTGAAAATTCCACACTCCAACAGACAGAGCCAATTCTCTCACTTTTCCACGGATCCACTGTTCGTACTCAATTTCACAAAATCCAGCTCTGCACGTCCTCACTTTTACGTTAATGCACACACACCCTGTCGTGCAAGTTCAGTGCATTTGAACTGACCTTGTTTGCGTTCACAGTCCGAGAGCTCAGGTGAGGATGAGGTGAGGAGGATGAGATGCTTGCTGCTCGTTGCTCCGATCGATGAACGAATGCCTGAGCCGTGCTGTGGTGTCGCCTTTTGTACTCGCTAAGCCACAAAATTTCGCAAGTTTCCACGGTGACAAGTCCTCCGCTGTGTGTGTGCGCGGTGGGGGTTAGTAGGGGTGTTGAACCCCCTCGCCGCCCTGTCCGTAGTCGGTCGGTACGAGGAGGAGGGGTGGGGGAGATACGGAGAAGGGGGCAGCCCTGCTTCACTCGTCACGGCTGTTGACCCTTCCGTTAATGTTTAACCAAAAAAAAATTAAAGCAACGACTTTTTTTTTTTTGGGGTCTCCTATCCGTGCAACGGTGTAAAACAAATTGGTGCAAGGTACCGGGTGGCACAACACGCTGACGCATAATCCCGGCCATATAACCGCACGCAACACCAGCCCAGCCCTCAACCTTGGAGAATGTAAAGCTCCGCACGTAATGTATATCTGATTTACCAAACTATTGGGTCCTTCTCAAGGGGGCCTCTTGGCGTTCGGGAAAGCCCTCTGTTGTGCCATAACGGCCACCTGCACCCTTTGAAAAAAAAAACCGGACTGATGGGAGCAAAGGCTGGCACCACGGGATTAGATAAACGAATGAATTCTGGGTAAACCCATGGTGCATGCGGTTTATTGGTTTCAAATACTCAACAAGGTGGTGTTGGGTGGTCACACTTTCCAAGTGGGGCCTTCTGATAAGGAATCTTGAGACACAAAGCGGTCCAGGAAAATGAATACAGTACTTTAGTATTATATGTTTGACATGTAGTTAAGTACAGGACTGCAAATCACATTGCATGATGTATCTTGAGCTTTGGTCCCTGCACCTCCAAGTTCTTGATCACACAATTGCGTCCGATTTGCGAGCTTGTGGTTATTATCTCACCAAATATAAAATACCTTTCAGTTTAATTGTTTTTTTTTACCCTTCTATCTGGCAACAAAACTGACACCTTTTTTTTACAAAGAGTCATGTTTGCATAGACCACAATACCTGCAGTCATAATGCAAACAAAAACACAACTCTGATAATGTGCACTGTCCTTGAAGTTGATTGGTCCACACCCGAGACAGCTTTCCTTAGAGCCTAGTCTCACATGGTGTTGGACCAACCCATGTGCAAACATGACTCTTTGTAAAAAAAGGTGTCAGTTTTGTTGCCAGATAGAAGGGTAAAAAAAACAATTATCATATTTTTACTGGCAAATGAGGTTCCAATGGTGTAAACCTTTCAGTTTATAAACACATTGGCTTTTACAGACGTTTGTAAATTAGACGTACGTTCGTGCAAACAGCTGTAAAGGAAATGTACACAAAATCTATAGTTTTTCCTAATTAAAAAATAAGCGTTACTGAATTTGTTGTCATAGGGCAGATGAAACATCTACATTGTTTTCATGAAAGTGCAATTAACAATTATCAGACTATACTGCCCAATCCAATTATAGTTAATCGTCAACTCCTAACTGTACTGTGTCAATTCATTAAAAACTCTGCATTGTCCACAACTAAATGTTACATGGGGCTGGCTAACCGAATTATGTGTTAAGTGGTGTTTTGTTTTTGTTGTTAAATGTCCACCCCCACCACCATCACCATATCCCCCTCTCCACCGATCACAGAGAGAACAACTGAGAGGCCCTCTCTAACCAACCAGGAACTCTTAAGAGCACGCCACGACTCAGCTGCTCACTTGAGCAGGCCGGAGATTGAGCGACGGGTCACACGAAAAACCTCTCCAGCTCGCCATCGTACGAGAGAGCGAGAGCGGGCAGCCGCTGGCAAGGGCAGTTCGTAGATGGTGCTCATTCCAAATGAACCACAATACCTCGCTGATCTCACCTTCTTCTTCCTAGCGTTGTTCCCGCTGTGGCGCAGGGTCCGCTTTTCGGCATTGTCTTCTCCATTTGGCTCGGTCCAGGGCATCTTCAGTGGATGCGTTGACCGTCTTCACGTCTTCCTTTATTCGATCCATCCATCGCTTCTTCGGACGTCCGCGTGGACGGCGGCCCTCTGGCTCAATACGCACGGCAGTCTTGGCCACTGATGACTCTTCACTTCGCATCACATGGCCGTACCACCGAAGCCTTGCCTCAAGCATCTTGTCCGCAATGGGGGCCACACCAAGTCGCTTGCGAACGTCTTCGTTCCTGACACGATCCCATCGAGTGAGCCCGAGGTTCCATCTGAGCATCCTCATCTCCATGGTGTGGAGGGCTTGTTCGTGTACAGTTGTGGCTGTACACGCTGATCTCATCAAGTAACATAAACCGTTACGCGAAAATCCGATCGTCTTCACTGTGGCTTTTAGCTGGCCATCGAACAAAGACACTCACTGCATCACGTGTTTTCGGGTGCGTTTCTGTGGCCGTCTGGAACGCTCTTCCTTCCGATATTAGGACGCCGCTGGAGCTATGCACTTTTAAATCATCATCTAGATCTGAAAACTCATTTCCTTAGAACTGCTTTTTGTGATTAGTGTGTTGTCCTTTTCCTGCACCTCAGCGCGGTGCGAAAGAAGTTCAACATACTCGCGTGCAGAAGGGCAAAATACATTCAAATGACGAATGAGCGGCAGTCCTGTTTACTCGTACGGCACGGTGATTAGCACAGTGACATATGTCGATGTCGAGCTTGGTGAGCCAGTTGAGACCCGTAGCTCTGCAAGTGATGCGACGAATGTCCGAGGCGTTGCCGGCGAACGAGCGAAGCTGGAATTGGTGGACTATGTGTTCCATCGGTTTGGCATTGCCCGCTGATTTTAATCGTCCACCAGCGTAAGCGGTGGCCGGCGCATCTGCGGTCCGAGGGTTGGGATGCGGATGAAGGGAGACCGCGTGATCATTGTTTGGTCGGTCCATCCGAGCGGTTCGTGCTGATAAATTACCTCTAGCGATAATGTCGCGAAATAGACGATACGATTATCGTGGATTTTGTATCGTAGCGTTGACCAGCACCAAGGCAACCCTAATTCTCCATTTGCTCGCCTTGAAACAAAACCCTAACCAAACACACATTCAATCATAAATGTACTTTATTGCTTACAGACTTTATGGATGCCTGTATGAATTTCTTTTTTTTTTGACGAATTGTATCTTTCCCGTGTGAAAAGCCATAAAATATGATTCACTTGAAAATGTTGTCACTTTGCACACGCACGTGGTCAAGTGCAGACCTTATCGGTCACCCCGTGTCACTTATAAATCTCAACGTTCATCCTTACAAAGTCCCATCACGAGGGAGAAACACAAACAAATAGGAAAATACATTTTTGTCGTCCGTGTTGAAACGGCTGTAACGCCGTATGGACCTGAAAACTCAATTTGCCTGCACAAGAATACGGGGTATAAACCGTGATGGGTTGACACGGTATGCTGTTGTACCGTGCCGGCCTTCATAGGTGCTCGCTAACAACACCTTGCCCGACAGTCCGTTAAGGCTACACGGGGGGTGACACCTTTGTCTTTGGTAACACCCACCAATTTCCTCCAAGACGGTATGGGGCCGTCCATAAATGACGTCACGCACCTGGGGTGGGGGGGGGTCAGACATTAGTGACTGTGTGACGAGGGGGGGGGTGAGAAATGTGACGTCACATCAAAATGCGTAACTTTAAATAAATATAGACAACACGTTCTACTCTTATTCTTGGTTCTTTCGGTAAAGTCACGTAGAAGGGAAATAATAAAATAATATTAATATAAAACACTATTATTTTATTATTTCCCTTCTACGTGACTTTATTGAAAGAACCAAGAATATGAATCCCTGCAGTCACGAAAGCTTTAAATCAACACGTTCTACTTAATTAAGTAGACTTTTTCATACATTTTTTCTCCTACAACATCAGAGTGCTTTAAATAGCGATTTGAAGCATGTTTTATTTTTGTGGGGGGGGGGGGGGGCAGAGCTTTGTGACGTCATATTTGAGGGGGGGGAGGTCTGACTTTTTGTGACGTCGTGTGACGAGGGGGGGGGGGTTCAAAAATCGTCCAAAATCGCGTGACGTCATTTATGGACGGCCCCTTTGATAAGCAAAACAAATTATGGAAATCCAAACTCCGCCCCCACCTCAACCTCCTCCGTGTCTAAATATAACCCTTTTTGTTGTAATAACCCTAAACATGGGGAATATATTGGACTTTGCCAGTAGCGTCGACGATGAAGTCGAAATCCGCGTCCCGATGTCCGTTTCGCCCTCGAGTGTGCGACCCTACAACAGTGGAAGCCGTCAGAAATAATAATAATAATACTCTTTGGTTTTTTTCGGTAAAGTCACGTAGGTAAAAATAAAAAATATATAAATAAAAAAGTAAAATAAAATAAAAATCACGACGTTTCGGAGGCAACACAAGCTTCCGTCTTCAGGTGGAACCGTCACAGCCACGACAGCTGTACTTGATACGGCTATTAATTTTAATGTTTTTACCTACGTGACTTTACAGAAAAAACCTAAGAATATGATTCTAGATTTGAAGCTTTCGTGACTGCAAGGATTCATATTCTTAGGTTTTTTCGGTAAAGTCACGTAGGTAAAACATCAAAATTAATGAAAATAAAATAAAATAAAACAAAAATCACGACGTTTCGGAGGCAACACAAGTCTCCGTCATCAGGTGGGACCGTCACAGCCGAATTAGCTGCATCATTTATTTTCATTAATTTTTATGTTTTACCTACGTGACTTTACCGAAAAAACCTAAGAATATGAATCCTTGCAGTCACGAAAGCTTCAAATCTAGAATAAAAAAAATAGAAATAATAATAGAAATAAAATAATAATTATAATAATTGAGTATGAATCTTTGCAGTCACGAAAGCTTCAATTCTAGAAATAATAATAATAATGGAATAGTGTAAATAGTGTCGCGCGATATTGTTTAGTGTTCCGTGTGTGTGGTGTGTAAAAATGAATTCTAGATTTGAAGCTTTCGTGACTGCAATGATTCATATTCTTAGGTTTTTTTCGGTAAAGTCACGTAGGTAAAAACATTTATTTATTTTATTTTACTTTTTAATGTTTGTACCTACGTGACTTTACCGAAAAAACCTAAGAATATGTAAAAATGAATATACATGATGGGAAGA